TCCTCCAGCTTGATGTCATATTCCATTTATTTGGATATTTCAATAAACGGGAATGTGAAATAATAATTTAATCTTGTGCAAAATTTGATGACCAACACACATGTGAACAGATACTATCACCTAAAAATAAAGAAAACAGAACATAAATTTATCATCTAATACTATGAAAAAATCTTAGATACTACAGGCATACAGTGAGCACATTTCTTTAACAAACTCAGTAAAATAAGTTAAGTTGTGCTATGATAAGAGGATGGCAATATATAACAATATCAAATGTCACGATCTTCAGTGTCCAAAAAAAGTGCCGCGCGCATTTTTCGTGGTCGCATAATTTGTATTGCCACAAACCCATGTGAAAAAGCAATTAGAAAAACCTGGTTTTGGGTGATGAGCATAGTCAAATTCTTGACTTAAGTCAATTTTCTATGTTTTTCGAGGTAAACAGATTAAACATTGAAATAAGCCAAATTCGGGACCTCGTAGAATCGAAACTATTGTGTGTGGACCAGATTTTTTTCAATTTTCTGTGATTTACATAACACTAGTTATAATTTGGGGCGAAAAAACAATTCAGAACTCGTGAACTCCTTGCAAAGTTTGGAAAATAAAGCAGCTAAATTAATACTAGATCTCTCCCGTCTTTCGTCGGCAACCGAAGCTCTCGCTACATTACACTGGTCAACTCTCTCATCTCGCAGATATAAACATCGTTGTATCTTTATCTACAAATGCACTAATGGACTGATAGATTTCGACTTCAATCTCACAACTAACAGCAGAATCCATTCCCACAGTACAAGATCGTGTAACAACCTCCATCTCCCGAAAGTCAACACGAACTGGGGCAAACATAAACCAACCTACCTCGCTTCGAAAGACTTTAACAACTTGGACGTTTCCGTCAGAAACACTGATTCTTTGAGTCAATTTAAGTCTTTACTAAGGTCACATACCATATAACTATTCTTAGCTGTACTTATTAGATATAGTTAATTATTCGTTTCTTTATGTCGTGACGTTGTATATTAATTGTATATATTTATATAAGTAAATTTTGTTAATGATCATGCAGGACCCCACTGAAAAACACATTAGTGATGTGGGTATTCTGGATAAATATAATTATAAATAAATAAATAAATAAATAAATAAATAATTTAAGGGTCAACCAGTATTGTTCAAGATATATTTTGCTTCCAGAACACCTTTTCAAAATACTAACCCAAACATGTCAAAAATTGTGTATATTTACAAGGGCAATTTCAACCCTTTGGCACATTTTCCCGTGAATGATTTTAATTCTAGTAAAAAGACTATGGATAAAACTTTGATTTAAAGCTAGTTTTAAGTGATGAGCATACCTAATTTTTAAGCTATACCTCAAAGAAGATGGGTCATTTCAACATATACATTGAAATATGGGTATATTGACAGCTCTGTTACACGTGTCGTTTGGCATTAGCAGACCTTCTGAAACATTTTAATGAAAGTATAATTCACAAAGTTCACATTTTCACTTACTTCTTAACATCTGTTTAACCCAACTAGCTCCGTAGGCACGAGCAAAATTTACTGTTGATGTAAATATCCATTTAGTTCATGTTTCCCCGCTGAAAATATAGTCTATTCCAAAGCTGATTTCGACGTACCTTAGCTTTTCAGAAACTGTTGGCCTTCCTCAGTGAGATTATCAACTGTTTCACAAATATATTTGATAGTAAACAGGTAAAATATTCTCCGAAAGTCTATGTTTTTGCTCTTCGATGCGAAAATGGCAACTCAAGAAGAGATGAGCCGCTATTTTTGGTCAGCGTCGACAAATTGCCCACCTGTTAATTGACCATTTGCGTAATAGACTAAATTTTGATCTAAACAAGTCTAGACAAAAATTTCATCACAGCTTGAAAGAGCATCACAAAATTAGTAATATTCCAAAGTTTCGTTGCGAAATGTTGTAAAATGCGGAAAATATAGCCTTGCGAAGTTTGCAATTTTCAGTCATTTTAGATTACAAACGGGAAATTGACAGCCCCAATTTTTGGGGCTGTCAATTTCCCGTTTAATGACCGAAAATTGCAAACTTCGC